TTCACATTAACAAGACCCATCTGCTGTGCTGCTCGACTACCTAGAAGATTCGTACAGTTCTCACCGTCTATATCCGTTTCTTCTGGCAAACCCTTGAGAAATGATTGCGAAAACCACAGTTCTTACACGACTTTCCATATGCTGGGCAGGAATTCTTATCAAATTCATGCATTCTCCCGCAATATTTGCAACGCTTTTTCTCGCGGGATTTTGAAGGGTCACCACGCCGATTTCCTTGATATTGTTCTCTAATTGCTTTGATTTCATGGTCGATTGACTTCTCATTAAGGCTTATCATATTTCGCAATTGCTTGCAAGTCGTCTCACTGCTTCGACAAATATCTAGGGCCTTTGCTAATGTTAACTTTCGTTCTTGTAGGAGTTTCTTTCGAACAGAATTGTCTTTAACACCCAAAACAACCCTATCTCGCAACAGGGTTTCTTTCAGACAAGTACAAAAGTTACACGATTGTGCCAAAGTTCTCAACACAATAATATATTGCTCGATTGTTTCTCCTTCTTTCTGATCGCGACTATTAAATATAAACCGTTCATAGGTTTCATTGGTCTCGCCGATAAATGTGGTTTGAAATTGTTCGAAAACTTTATTTAGCTTCTGCTTGTCATCGCTATCTGCGAAATGCATTCCTTCATAAACTTCCATCGCCCCGTCGCCAATTACTGACAAAAACAACGCCGTCTTGAAACGTTCGTCGAATCGTTCGAGCCGAGAAATAATTGCATAGTTCTCCCATCCTCGGCGAAATTTCTTCCAATTTGCTGCCATGTTTCCTTCCATCAACAGTGGTTTAGGAGCAGAAATTCCTGTTGGAATTATCGGTATAGAGTACCGAAGCTTGTGTCGTTTGTTGTATCTTGCCCTTTGGCATTGTACTTGACTCTGGCCCGTTTAGATTTTCCATCTCTTCAGTATCAGACATATTTGCAGCTTCTGTGCTTGTCACGATCCCACACCTGACGCCATGTTTCGTTATATGACAGAAAGCACACAAACCAACTACAACATACTTCGATATATTTAGCTAACTAATAAAAAACCCATATACGAAATGTTTACTTGGCTCAAATAGGCTACTAACTAATTATACATGCATGCAAATATTTTTTTAATTGTTTTTATGAATATTGCAACAATATATATAAATCCGGATACAAATAGGTGTTTTGCGAAATTGAGAGCAATTTCAATTTTTTTATACACCTTGTATAGCTAACAGTTCCTTTTCTATCTGAGCGTATTGTTTCTCTGCGTGCGTCAATGTTCGGCTTCCAAATGCGACAGGCTTTCCCTCTTGAATGAGTGCGGCCCCCAGGCCGTGGTCGCTAGCGTCACACTGTATTGTCAGGGGTTTGGTCGACTCGTAGTACTTGAGGACTGGCGGTTCTGTGATCAATTTCTTTATTTTGGTGAAAGCGGCGTCATGCGATTGGGATCAAAAGAAAAGGCTGAGATTTTTTATAGTTGTCGTAGTGGTTCAGATACTTGTAAGACATTGAGGTCTTCTTCAACTTAATCTTGTTTGGGTTAAGCTTGATATGTTCAGCTCTGCAGCGGTCGAATAGTTCCTTAAGCTTTCTGTCATGGTCGGCTACAGCTTCCTGTGATCGTCTCTCCATTTCCTATTACTAAAATGTCACCAGCAACAATCCGTACACCATCCAAGTCATCAATTGCCTGGTCAAGTCGTTGCTGGAAAATCTCTCCTGCAGGGGAGATCCCGAAAGGCACCCGTTGCCATTTAAATCGTCCAAATGGAGTGTTGAACGTCGTTAAAAGAGACGATTCTTCGACTAATTCTATTTGCCAATAACCGTTGCTACAGTCGACTTTGGTAAAGACTTTTGCATTGGGCAGTTCTGGAAGTATGTCGTCAATTGTCGGTATTGAATGGTGGCATCGTTTCAGCGCTTTATTGAGTGGTCTGGGATCGATGCTTAATCTAATTTTGCCATTGGCTTTTGGTGCAACAACAATTGCGCTGACCTAGTCTGTTGGATAATCTACTCGTTCTATGACCTCAAACTTGACAAGTTCGTCCAAATGTTCTCGCAACGGTTGCTTCAGCGACTCTGGGGTCAACTTCAAGATGCAGTGCTGGGCCTAAGGTTCCAAGACCTTCAAAAACATCTTGGTATGTTTGCTGTGTTGGTGTAGTGTACTCAGGTGAATAAGATGCTTGTGATGTTACTCTGAGTGTATATCCACACCGGGCAGGCTTGAAAAATATGCCTGGCCACCGTGGGAATCGAACCTACGACCTTTGGAATACTAGCCCAATGCTCTGCCAACTGAGCTACGCGGTCAGGTCGGTTCGAGTATGCGATATTTCGGAACTGAGTCTAGTTCCTTCGATATCAGTATAATCTAATAATCATGATATTTGCTGTGTTGGTGTAATGTACTCAGGTGAATAAGATGCTTGTGATGTTACTCTGAGTGTATATCCACACCGGGCAGGCTTGAAAAATATGCCTGGCCACGGTGGGAATCGAACCTACGACCTTTGGAATACTAGCCCAATGCTCTGCCAACTGAGCTATGCGGTCAGGTCGGTTCGAGTATGCGATATTTCGGAACTGAGTCTAGTTCCTTCGATATCAGTATAATCTAATAATCATGATACTTGCTGTGTTGGTGTAGTGTACTCAGGTGAATAAGATGCTTGTGATGTTACTCTGAGTGTATATTCACACCGGGCAGGCTTGAAAAATATGCCTGGCCACGGTGGGAATCAAATCTACGACCTTTGGAATACTAGCCCAATGCTCTGCCAACTGAACTACGCGGGCAGGTCGGTTTGAGTATGCGATATTTCGGAACTGAGTCTTGTTCCTTCGATATCGAGAGTGACATCGCAAGCATCTTGGTATGTGTCTTTGACGTTTTGCATTGTCAGTCCCATTTGATCAGGCCGAGTCATGTCTTCATTAATTTGATCGACATGAATTGGGCTCCCAATTTCAATCAAATTCATTTGTTGCACGGTGCGGCAGCCAAGAAGGTTACTTTTTGCATTCTGGTCATCAACAACAGTGAATGGTACTTTGAACTTTTGCTTTGTAGTTGGGTCTTGTACTTGTGTTTTGCACTTTCCAAGGGGTGTGAGTGATGAGTTGATGTACATCTTTAGAACATGTGCTGTAGGTTTGATGCGCCGTTCATATTTAGTGCCTTTTAATTCACTCCTTTTTAGGACATTGCCGGTTCCCCCTGTATTAATTTGAAATTTGGTTGTGTTCCCTCCTTTTATTTTCATGGTAGCAAATGTACGTGATTTGTAAATGTTCGTTTGTTGTATTGTACTGATGGTATCATTCTCGGTGGGGTCTAGTTCGACAGTCATAAGGGAGTTGCCTGAATCACTTGAGTCGTTTTCAGTTACTGCGTGAAGTGACTTTTGGCGGGAATTTTCCTTTCTGCATACAAACTTTGGCGAAGTGATTTCGCGACCACAATTCCGGCAGGGGCTTCCAAATGCTGGACATAATTCTTTTTTCGTTGGTGCATTGTTCCACAATATTTGCGTTTAATTTTTTCCTCACGCCCCCCCCCCCCGTCACGCCTATCAAGTCTGACACGTCTGTCATCGCGTCTTTCGGTTCCTGTGCTTCCGGTTTCGGTTTTGTTGTTTACAATGCCGTTGATTTCGCCCTCATTTGCTTCACTGTTCGCCTGGATTTTCTTGACTTGTTTCTTCGTGGTCTCGCTACTGCGACAGATGTCGATGGCTTTTGTCAAGGTGAATTTTTGATCTTGCAATAGCTTTTTTTGAGTTGCATTATCGTTGATTCCTATGGCCAGGCGATCGCGTATCAAAGAATCTCGTAAACAATTACAGAAATTACATGATTGTGCCAATGTTCGCAATGCTGTTACGTATTGATCGACTGTTTCGCTTTCATTCTTTTGTCTGCTGTTGAAAACGAATCTCTAATAGATTTCATTTGTTTCACCTAAGCATAACTCTTTAAATTTGGTTACAACAATGTCAAATTTCGTGTGGTCTTCTTCCGAGGCAAAATCTAAGCCTTCAAAAATTTCCATTGCGTCCTCGCCGATGCAAGGAAGGAACGTTGCTGTTTTGAATTCATCTTCAAATCGGTTAAGTCTTGCCACAATAGCATAGTTATCCCAAGATCGCTTGAATTTTTTCCAATTTGAGGTAAGGTTTCCTTCAGTTTTTAATGGCTTAGGCATGGCCAAACCCGCTGGCAATAATGGTTGACATGCCGAGGCTGTGTTCGGAGTGTTTTCTGCTTCGCTACTGTTCGCTTCTCTCATTTTCAATAATGCGAGCTGGGTTCTTTTAAACTCCTGACACCATGTTATTTTCTTGTCACTTTCATTAACTTTTGATAGTTTTATTTCTTATAGTATAATTCGCATAATATAAACTCATAACATGTATATACTCTTTCTCTAAAATCCCGTGTCCTACGCCTGTTTTCGCGCCCTTTTCCTTCGTTCCCAGTTTTCCCTGTCCCTGCAAATATAACTAAAATATTAATGTCAACAGTAAATGTCCAACAAATAAGTTCTTCAACCTTTTTTTATTTAGTTCAATAGTTTCTGAGATATAGGCCGTCAAACATGGCAATGTTGACCTTTTAGCGAAAAAAATCCGTCGTACTAAATTTTGCTTCGGGGCCTGGAACTCAGGAACCCAATTTGCAAGCACGCCGTCTTTCCTAATAAAAAAAACATATACTGTATTTTTCCTTGTGATATCTGTTGTGTTTTTTAAATAATGCCCGAGCGATGCGTTGTCTATGGCTGTAACAACACAGCAAGATCAGAAAAAGGTATATCTTCATATCGTATACCTTATTGTGACAATAATCGGCAAGTAGCAAAGGCAGGCGAAAGAAATGGTTGGACTTAATTCGGCGGAAGAGAGACCAATAGGCGCCAAGTTCTGGTTCAGTTGTTTGCTCAAAACACTTCACGGAAGACTGCTTTGGATACGGTTCCGTCACAGTCCCACTATCCAAACCCCTAAGCTTAAACGAGATAAAAATTGGGATTACTGCTCTTCCATCTTTGATGCCAAAAGCGACATGTTTATATAGTGAACGCAATGTGCGCCTACAACGCAAAGGAAAGGTATGAATACGTTTCTTGTATATTTTCTAGTGTTTTAGTTTGAATTAAAATATTCCAATCATGTGTTATTGGTCATATTTCATGCATTTGTGTTAAACTATTTATCAGCTTTGAATCTCTATATTCATAGCTATCATTTATGGAAGAAGGACCTTTGACTAGTATTATGGAGGAGCCTCAGGTATGTTGGACTTTGAAACAATGTATTATATTTTCTGTAATAATGTGTGATAATTTATCAAGGCAATATGTCAGTCGTCATATGTTTGTAAACCATATACAAGTAGAATATATATATTATATAGATATCATATGTGGAAGAACCTTCGACTGGTGGAGAGATCTTTGAGGAGCCTCAGCTTTCTACCTCGACAAACGTAAGTATCTATGTCAGTGATCATGTGTATATACTGCTTTTAAACTGCAGACAAATAAAACTAAAGTTTTAATTAGTGACAATCAAACAATAATTGGCGCTGTTACCAGTATATTTTTTCTGTTTTAGTTTGACGAACAGTCTGAAGGCATTCAATGTGGCAATTGTGAATCCTTATTGAAGAGGAATAGACAGCTCCGTATAAATTGGCTGTCTGCAAAACACAAACTTGAAATTTGCAGATATCAAATGGGCTCACAAGTGGAAAGCAAATTAAGAGAGTTACTTGCATTTCTTTTTACCTTACATAATTAGGGGAGAGGGTGCCCAGAGCATGCAAAAAAATAGTTTCCTTCTAGTTCACTGCGTTCATCCGAAGGAAAATCATTTTTCTTCTCCTTTCCACTAAGCATGCACATATACACAAACATTGATGGCAGGCGACGTGCAAGCACTTGTCTGGCAAAATAACTTTTTATTAATTATTTTTTACAATTGATTTGATTTGTTTATGATATGGACATATATTATCTGTGTTCACTTATTTCCGATATTACAGTAGGTAATGTCTTTGTTAAAGTCAATCTACTTTCCAAAGAGTCTTGCACATACATGTTATTCGAGTTATCAGATTTCCATCTGCCTTGAAGTTTAAGCAAACGATTCAAATTAGGATTGTTCCCTTGAGAAGTTGCCATGAACGACGCTCCGCCAGATCGTAAACTATGCGTACTGTACTGCTTGGGATCAAGACCAATACTAGATATAGTCTCCTTGATGATTTCACGTAACCGTGTGTAACAAATGCGTTTAGAAGCAAGGGCGACTGCTGTATAACCACTACGGGAAGCAAGGCCGTGCCAAGTGGTTTATGGTTGGGGGGGGGGGGA